GACGGGTCGACGAGAACCACGTGATTAATCATCGCGGAACAGAAGCGACTCGCGGACAAAGCTAATTAACGCGGTCGTAAACGAAAGGTCGCGTGTGGTACGCTGCACGCGTCTCGAAATATGTTGCCGAGGCTGGTCTGCTTCTCTCATTGAGTAGGCCGTTTATTAGCGGTGGATCGACAATTATTAGCGTTCCGCGGGGTCAAGTGTAATGCGATTCTAATTGCGCTTCGAACATGACACCGACGGCTCGCGACCTCTGTTCCCCGATATTCCCTGGTCCGCTGGCTGCTTTGCTTTCGCACTGTATCGCTGTTAATTGTCCATCAACGAGCATGAAATCGAGAGCCGCGGGAAAAATCGATCGGCCAAATTGTTGCGCCGGGAACAGGCTCGAAGGATAACTGTGAGTTGATTCGGCCTCGTTCCACGCTCGTGTTCGCGTTTGTTCGCGGGAGAAAAAAGGGACCGTGTCGATTTCACGCAATCCATCGCGAGTTTCGTCTTCTTTCGCGCCATAGCGATTTGAACGAAAGTTTCTCCGAGCTTCACAGCAGTTGGAAGAAACTACGCTGCGCTGTGTTACATTTTTCTCATTTTTTTATAGTTTAATGCGTTATGTGTTGTGGATTGTAAATATTCCAATGGCGGAGGATCGCGATGATAGTTGTTTTTATTTTGCAAAATAACATTTATGTTGTGAAATCGCTTTCAAGTCGTTCGCTTTTCTAAGCTTCGCTGTTGATTTTCTCGTTTTACTGTGAATTAGCGTTAGACGTTGTCGGTAATTTTGTTCAGCTTAGGAATTACGTTCCAGCGATGATGGAGGAATTATTTCCTTTTTCTTCTTTTTTAATTTCCTTGCAATATTGTAATTTTTCACACCAAAAGGGATAATTTATGAAAGAGGCGTTATACATTTTTTAAAAGAAATAAATAGAACAGACAAATACAAAGAGAGACTCGATACTATGGCGCATGGTTGTAGCCTGACAACTAACCCTTTCAATGTTATCAATTAGAAGAAAAAATGTGTTTTTACTGTATTCTTTTCGAAACGAAAATGTGCCTTTCATGTGCCACTTGAGGTCGATGAAAAATCAAAAGTAAAAGTTGAAAATGACGCGGAATAAATTATTTTGTCTCGATGTAATATCAAGCTGTGACATTGTACATTGAAAAATGAATTTTTGTTTTTTAGGAGATGCTCGACGTTCCCTCCTTTTCTCGTGGACTCCTCATTTTGGTGAGTTTATTGTTTTACTTGCGGACGATGGAATCGAACAAGCTTTAAGATACGCGTAAATCATTTAATTTGCTCGATCGTATTTTTTCAAAAGGTAATTATTATTTATCGTATCCTTGTTCTTAAAGATTTTTTAATTTATGGTTAATTTCCAATTATATTGTTACGCTTTTCGAAATGTGTCGAACGAAGGAATATGTTTTTTTTATTCGTTGGTTAACCTGTGCAAGGACCCATTAAATGTACAGCGATGGTAAATTAAATTGTTTATTTCGTTCGATAAAATTTTGTTTATCGACTTATTTACGGACCATAAAATGGAAAAAAATTGCGAACTAAAAGGGCTTTCGATATATTTTATTTCGATATTTTTTTAACAGGGGAAAACGTTGGGATTTGTGACATCCGCAGTTAATTTCAAATTACATCGCTGAAAGTCTCTTAGCTGTAATTAAAAGAGAAATCTTTTTTATTTGCTAAATTTATGCGCCATGGGAAGCTACTATTTTTTTTATACCTATAGCAAAACAAAATAATTCGCTGCTTTTAATTTTCTGCTTCCATCGAAATTTCCGATGCTTAATGCTGGGAAAAACAGACAATCGAAATACGGGGAAAATGAGAGGGAAAAAAGCTCCTATCATCGTGCTACTACAAAACTTTCGCATCTTTTTCAGTCTCTGTGGGATTTTTATACGATAATGCTTTACAAGATTTTCCTATGGCGAGGAATATTTTCAATTAAAAATTTGATAATTCCTCGTACCGTTTAAAATAATAAATCAGCGATCTTATTACACGAGCCTAACGCTTGTGTCGTTACGAGTGTATCGTACAGTCTGTGAAAAAAGTAAATGCACACGTACAATGAAGCATACGGTGCGTCTAGACGAATCAACTAATTTCAAGGGAGAAATTGAATTGCAGATAAAAAATTGCTCGAGCCATTTCTTTGGAAACTTATTTCCGAAAGTCTCGGGCAAAGCATATCTCTTGAAAGCCAGGCTAATTACCTTCTGCCACTTGATAATCCAATTACCTAACACATTTGCCGTGCAGACGGTTAAAAACGAACGAACCGACCGAACGCGAAGGGAACTGCTGGAAAATCAAAAAACGCGACTTCTTTTCGAAGATTATACGCTACGAAACGTAGAAATCGATCGAATCTCTGCACCTCTGATTTTTACCATTCACCACTTGTCATCAACTGACTGCGAACCCACCAAATATCCCAGGTGTCTTCGGAAATACGGACTTTTCTTGATTATGGTGTTTTCGACGCGTGGAAAATTAAAGAGAGTCGAATAAAATCTTGGGTCGATTGCTTTCGCTGGAAGAAGTGCGAACATTTTTGGTGTCTGATTCGAAAATTAACAAGAAATACGTACATTAATTAACGCCGACGTTGCCAGGCTCGATGGAATGACCGGTTCCGAAATTGAATTTCAAATTGTACATTCATCGTTATTTCTGCCGCTCGTCCAACTTTATGCAGATTCTCGTATTATTCGATCGATCAATTTCTCGAATGTTGCTAACGCGAGAATTTACATAAAGTGAGACGAACGAAAGAAACGGCGACGAGCGTACAAGTTGAAATAAAAATTCGAAACTCAAATTTCACCTGATAAAATCAGCGTTAATCTCGATGGAATATGCTTCGAACGGAACCGTGAGGACAACGATATAGTAAAATTATCGTACTATACGACACGTGTACGATGGCGGACGAAAGAAAGTGGGAGGCTAAAGGACAGAAGAAGTAGGATGGCAAAAGCTACAGTTTCGATTATGCTTGGTAATTGTTGCGTGAATTTCGTCAACTGGAACTCGCACACAAACACAGGAGTCCACGGGAGGCCATGAAAGTCCGGCTCATAACGCGATCAGACACACGTGAAACGAGACTTTGGCTAACTCGTGGCTACCAGGTAGCGAGGGGCTTCCATCGGACAGCAATTTGCGGCGATTTGGAAAACCGTAGCTTCGGAAAATGGAATGGTTGGAAAAAGAGGCGCAGAGTGCCGACCCAGTCGAAAATTGGGAATTTCGAGCGCACATGCGCGTCACGCGGTTGCAGTCGCCCGCAGGAAGTGCAGCAGGATGCATGCACCGGCGACCTTATTATCCTCTCTGTCTGCCTTGTGCCGCGCGCGAACGCCCGTCCAAATGAAGTCAAACTCGGGCTGTTTGCGCTACGGTTCGGAAAATTTCAGCGATCGCGAACGTTATGACGGCCGACTCGGTTTAACGCTGCTCGCCACCGCCAACCATAGAAATCCGCGACATTCTCGTCGAGAGCTCGTCGTCCGCAGTTAAAAACGCGTGTAATTCGTCTGATGTAATTTATATTTATATCGACGAATTCTATTCTAATTGATGTTAGGCAGTTTGGATAGCAACGCGGTGTCAGAATTAAATAGAATTAAACGTGGCCACTTTTAAGCTATCGTCTGTATGAAAGTAAAAATTGTGTGAAAATGTTGTATTTTCGGTAGAAGTAATCAACTCGAGAAAATCCGAAGGAAAATGTGGAACCGAAAGAATTCAATTATCGAGCAATTCATTAGCGGCTAGAAAAGGATAAAATTAAGCGGATTGTCACTCTACAGAAATTCATATTGCATGGTCATATTGTTAAGCTAACGAAACGGGTGCATTTCTTTTCTTTTTTTTTTATTTTTTACTTTTTCTCGTGTGGCGGACATTTCGAAATTATCCCGTGACGCGATGTTTAAACTTTTTATCGTGGAGAAGGTATTCTCGAACGATCGCCGAGTGTTATCAAACATCGCATGGCGGCTAAATATGATGGAAATAAAAGCAAACACGTGGTCGCTAGGCCTGTGGAAAAAGATAAAAATGAAAAATAAAAAAAAATGGAATTTGGTCGTGGAAGTTGAATCGTGTCCCGGCCGGGACACTCTCGCCGCTCTCAAATTGATTGCAATTGATCGGAGAAGTCCCTTGGTACAACGAATACACGATGGCGAGAGCCAGCGAGACCGAAAGTGGGCAGAAGTTCTGAAATTTTCACCTCTCTGCTTTATTTATTTTGTTCTTCTCTATTTTATTTTATTTTATTTTCCCTTTACCTTCTAGCTCTTCTTTTTTTCAAAATATTACTTTCTTATTCATTTTCTATTCTACTTCATCGTCGTTTTCATTGTGTCTTGCTCCTTCTGATTCGAAAATTGAAGTTGTCTTGGTCGAAGAGAGTTGATATTATTTTGTTTAAAGCCAACCATCCAGTGACTAAAAACATTGAGAAAGAAATTCGCAAGAAATTTGCAACTTTACTCCGAGTATATTTTGTTGAAAAATAATATTGTCACATTTGCGGATCTTTCTTTTGTTTTTTAAAATTCTATCAAATAACCTGCATTCTCTTTCGTTGCTCTTCCCCCGGATCTTTTCCAACAACGAATTCCCGCAGGTAGATTTTGCATAAATATCTTCCAATCAGTCGTAAAAAATCGCCTGCAAATTAGCCAGAGCGTCATTAGAAGAAATTTTCAATTTTTCTTGAAAAGTAATATTGTCACATTTTCGAATTTTTCTTTTGTTTTTTAAAATTCTATCAAATAGTCTGCATTCTCTTTCGAAGCTCTTCCCCCGGATTTTTTCAACAACGAACTCCCGCAGATAGATTTTGCATAAATATCTTCCAATCAGTCGTAAAAAATCGCCTGCAAATTAGCCAGAGCGTCATTAGAAGAAATTTTCAATTTTTCTTGAAAAGTAATATTGTCACATTTTCGAATTTTTCTTTTGTTTTTTAAAATTCTATCGAATAACCTGCATTCTCTTTCGATGCTCTTCCCCCGGATTTTTCCAACAACGAACTCCCGCAGGTAGATTTTGCATAAATATCTTCGAATCAGTCGTAAAAAATCGCCTGCAAATTTAAAGTAATTGCAAATTTTTAAAAGACCATAGCTTGTATATAACAAAATTATATAAATACTATATAAATAATATATAGCACGTAATAATGTGCAATATAATGAAATATATTATCTGCAATATAATTAAATATATACTAACTATACAATATAATTGTATAGACTTGTAATATAACGTGCATATACGTTTCGCTGAAAAAAGCTGTATCAAAAGCTCACAAGGTTCGAATAAAATATTTCCCACTGCTTTAATTTATTTCTTTAAATTCCTCGAAGGAAAAATCGGCCTCTTTCGTTCGCATGGCGTTCGTTTAAAGCCTGTGACTGAAAACGTTCGTCTCTGAAGAGAATAATTTAATAAGAACAATATCAAGTCAAATTAAATGTAATTGTTGCTGAATAATTTTAGCTGACAAATAGAAATTACCAATAGCCTTTTTAGGTATCGTTTAAGATTATTCCATAAATTCTTACTTTGTTAGAATATGGATCAATCAATGCTGAAAATCGTTTAGAAGCATGGAACATTCCAAATAAGATACTTTCACTCACCTTTCCCATTCTACCATCACTTTTACCAAGCTATGTACAGTGGTGCGAAAAAGTTTTCGGAACTGGTCACTTCGTGTCACAACAAGCAAAGAGATGTACACAGACACATAGAAATATGTATATGCAATGATATAGAAATTATCAAATGAAGAATATTAATATTCCTTTTCTTTCTTTTTTTTATTTTTCGCGTTAAGTATGTCTTGGTATTTTCTCAATAACAGCAATAAGAACGTTTTACTGTATATTTGCATCGCAAGACCCGCACCAAAAGTGAAATAGAAATTCTGAGCTACCGTGTGGACCCATACGACGTCGAGGCATCTTGGAAAACCTGTTCACGCTGCCTTAACAATTACACGGTTTGTTTGATACTTTTCTAAAAACTGTGTCAAAGAATAGAATACTTTTCCACGACGATTGTTAAACTTCTATCGATATCACATACATTTGATGCTTAACAATCAACGGAATCGCCGCGACACACATTCTCTACACATCCAAATGCGTTTTATTTCCAAAGTTTTTCTAGCACAGAGA